TTTTTAGCCCTAAAAACCTGCAAGATGCTGGGGGGGGGACAAACCCATCACCCCACCAGCCGTCTCCACAGGTGCGGGCCCCCCTGTGGCCCCCAGGCCTTCTGGCAAAGCCCGGATTTAATCCCTTTCCTGAAGGCCATGAGGGAGGGACACACCGGATCTCAGGCGGCAAGATGTTCCATAGGGCGGGCGCTGCAGCAGAAAAGGCTCTCCGCCTAGACCCCACCCATCGAAAATCCTTGACTGGTGGGGTCTGCAACCTGCCCCTTCTGCTGGACCGAGTGGGGCGGGCTGAAATGAGCTTTATTTTTTAAATAGTGCCTGTCACATAGTATGAAATTTGCTTAACCCTGGCCTACTACCATGTCTCAAGACTTCAAATGCGAGATGGTTAAAATTAGTTCACTGGAACCACCACAAACTGCGTCAATTCTCCCCCTCCAGGAAACAGACTCACTGGAAGCTTGCCCTCCGTTCAAACCGGATTATTCAAAGTTTTCAGAAAGCCCTGGGAATGCAAACATAATCCGGGCTGGATTGGAGTTCAAACGTTTATCAAATCAAATCTTTATTACGGTGGTAGACCAGCACAGATTTCAACCTTTCAATGGTTTCGATTGGAAATTTCGGATAGGAATCGAGCTGCTGCCCTGTTCTATCCCTCTCCCCGTCTGGAGGGCCCCCTCGCGGGCAGCAACGCTCTTTTGCCTACTTCGCGCTGTTCGGGTCGCTGGAACCTTTGCAGCAAAAGAAGCAAACTGAACAAGAAACGTTCAGCCAAAGAAGTAGCTCAACGCCTCGCAATCCTCAAGGAGCGACGGGGCTGCGTGCGGGAAGAGCCCCACAAACCGGCGGTCTTGGCCGCTGGAGCTCCCTGTCCGAGCCAGGGCTTGGCGGGACCGGGAAAGGGGCGCCCGCCTCCCGCCCTCCCCGCCAACACTCACACGTCTCCGCGTTGGCCGCTTCTGCTGCGGCTGCCGCCCTCGAGCCGCCGTCTTCCTTCGGAGTCAGGTTGAAAAAGCCCCTCAGATCAGCCAGGCCTTTCACGGTGCGGCTCCGGATTTCCTCCATTGCGGTGCCTGCCGAAGCAGCCTCCTGGACAGCGGCCGGCGGAGGAACCCAGCAAGACCAGGGCGGGTGTCGCTTTCTAGGGACAACTCCCTCCAAGCACCTGCCAGACCCAGCCAGGTGTGTTAAGTTTCCTTTGCTGTCTGGATTGAGAGCAGCAGCTGGAAGCTGACTGCTACAAAAGCAGGATTTGAGAAGGATGGAAAACTCTTTCTGGATTGGTCTGCTCTTGATATCAAACTTGATGAAAAGTCCTCCAAAACTTGAAAGCGTGCATGTTTCTGTGGCGTCTCAGTTGATCCCAGTAAATATATCCGAACCTTGGATTTTGAATTTTATTTTGTTCGTTATGTTTTGTATCCCTGCCAGTCACTCTCTGATGTATCAAGGGGCTGCTGTGACCTGAAGGGGAATAAATCAAAAGTGGAAGACACTAAAGATTGTTCGGGCCTGAATGTCAGAGCGAGCCATATCTAAATCTACAAGGCAACAAATTCCTGACATTTTGACTCTCAAAAAATAGTAGAAACTGTTCAGTTAATGGAATTAAGCTATTTATTTAGCTTACATGGGCAACATTTCCCTGGGTTATGCATACATCCTTCCTGTGCATTTACTCAAGTTGTAGTTTATATTATTCATTGTTAGATCAGCATCAAGTAATTAAGGATTAATTGCAAGAAATCCACACGATGACAAACTTCTTAGAAAGCAGATGCTAAAAATGACGCTGAAAGCTTTTCCAATCCCTCAGTCCTTCCCAACTTCTTGATTAGCTCTATCACAACTTAAAGTATCATTGTTCAGTTATTTACATTGTGAATCTATAGACAAAGAGAACACTATTCAGGAATGTCCAGAGGATATGATCAAAAAAGTCAAGATGGCTACAATGGCGCAATTGAACCTCCAACCCATTTACGTGCATCACATATAATGGGTGGAAATTTGATCACACCCATGTGGTCACCAACTTTTTGACCATACCCTATGGACTCCCCAACACTACTTGTGCCTTTCATATGTCTGATTGTAAAGCAACTTTGGCTGTATTTAGTCCTTGTGTTTGCACTTTGGAAAGTCTGTGTCTGTCTACATTCACTTATTTCTTTTTCCCTCTCAGTCTCTTTTTCCTTTTGTATTACAGCTACTAGATTGTAAGTCTAAGAGGTTCTTGGAGTCTTTATGGGGTTGGGGGTTGAGCAGTGGAGTAAAATATATTTAGGATCTACTACTACTACTAACACTACTCTGGCCATAGATCAGTTGCTTTTGCCACAAGATTGGACTACTTCAAAATGACTGAGAATTAAGATCTGTGCATGATTTTAGTAAATACAACTGCTAATTTTACACCCTCTAAATAAATATTGACAAAAAATGACTTAGCAGAAAAGTAAATAGCTGTGAATGTGTTACATTTATAATGTAAAAATAGTTATCCAGGAAACAGTTGTAGTAAAAAATTTAGATACTATTTTAATCAGTTGCTTATGCTTGCAAATAAATCAAATACAGCAGGCTTGTTTTAAGAAGGGCCATTCTGAAAAAGTGAACAGGAAATAGTATTTTGGGGAGTCCATTAAATAATTGTTCCTAATTCTGTTTGTTAAATCAATTTTTAAACACTATATGTAATTTTTAAAATACTTATCTGGGTTTTTTTTAATAAAGCTAGAACTTTATAAAAAACCTGTATATTTCCAATAAACACATACATACTTGAGGTATGTAGTGTACACAGAATTATAACTGATGTTTTCAGTTGGTGAAAACAGCACACACACACACACATTTGTATGTATGTATAGGCCTGTTCATAAACATGGTTTAAAGAAATTATGGCTTAACAATGTGGGAACTCAACCAGTGTGAATTTGAACTTGGATCAGATGCAAGTGTAGGAAAAAACAGGAGGAGAGAGGAAAGAAAGGGGAAAAAGTGAATAGTGTAAATGAATAGTGTATGCTCATTTTTCAGTTATTTTAATTATACAGTTCCAAGAAAAAGTACGTGAACCTTTTGGAATTTCATGGTGTTCTGCATTAATTTGTCATAAAATGTGATCTGACCG